TCAAGTCTCATTTACTAGAAAAGTAATAATATTAAGAAGATATTTTAAAAGGATTAATTTTAATAATTATGCGTGAAATACATGTAAAGAGAAAGATTTTTCCTTAAGAAACTCATGACTCCAATATATGATTTTAATATACATTGTGATAAAAAAAATTATAAATATTTTTTGATATTTTCACTTGTTACAACTTTTATAACTTATTGAATAACAATACCCTTCAATTAAGATAATTTAGTAGCAAATAATTTTTGTTATGTAGAATATCCTCTGAGATCCTCGCCTTCTATATCTCTTACAATTAGTAACAATTTTTTTTGTTTTTGTTTTTTCCTTTTTGTATTACTTATTTAGTTTATAATATTTCTGTTGCGTATTTATTATGGCTAAACATGTACCAGACTAATAGGTCAAATTTATCGTACTATTCAGATAAAATTTTGAATTGATAATTGGTTCAAAAAATTCTTTAAATTAAATTTGGAATTCACTCATGTAACTCGATTAATAATATGATAATATGAAAATAATGGGTGACTTAGACTTATGACTTACATGTTACCATAATAAGATAAAAATTTATCAATTTGCAATGATTTGAAGAACAATCCAGGCGAAACAATTTTGATAATGTTTTTAGGAATTTTCAGTTCAACGTAATTGGATGTAAAAATCATACAATAAAGAAACACAAGAAGGTAAAGAGAAGGATGACAATATTTTATGTCTTGACCACTATCACTTGGCTTATAATTAATATTTTTCCAAGTTAAAAAAAAATGATTCACGTGGACAAGAATAACAATAATAATAACACACGTATCCTAAGATATGCAATTAATAAGTCATTTGTTAAAATAGTGGAATAGTTTTGATTAAAGTGTAAGCATTCTAAGAAGAGTGGTATGGTATGAACTTGTGAACTTAAAAAATATAGAAAATTGAGGGAGAATAATCTGCAATTGCAAGTCTATGTATACAAAGATTTGTTCAACGGGGCCATAACTCTGGTAGAAATTGGGGAAGCGATTTCACACCAGAATGCATGGAGATGCAGTTGGTTTCTTGAGTCAAAGATTTATTTGGTGGATGAAATGTGATATGAGATTTAATTTATAAATTTATTTGAAGAGTAGGGTTGAAATGGAAACATGAGAGTGGAAGCGTGTGAGTGTGGGATTTGTTTGAACAGAGTTGGTGGATTTGACTGAATTAAATAAACCTCCCAGTTGCCAAGAAAGTTGACTCGTAGACTTTGCGTTTGTTTCTGAGATTGTTTCTGTAGGAAACGAAATCGAAGAATAAGGGGTGAATGGATGGGAGCCTCTTTTCCCACATTAGAGACAGACCGAGTCCATCATGTCACTTAATTTCTCAATAACTTAACAATTAACAAATCATCTTTTCCGTTCCTTAGTCAATTACGTTGCCTTTTACTTTCTCTGTACCACACCAATCTCATAGGCTCTACCAAAGCCATTTTCAATTATTGGTTCCAAAACAAATAAAAAGAGAGAATACCAAAAGGCAGCAACCGGGTCTGATCTTCTTCCATCGGAGGAACCGCAAAATTCTTCTTCTGCACCGTTCCAATGGGCAACTGCTGGCCTTCTCAACCTCACAACAACGTAACCCCAACCACCACCGGTAACCTCAGTACAGGTTTGTTCTTTACCTTTTTGCTCTCAATTCATTTGATTTCCCATGTGTTTTCATTTCATCTATGTTTCCATCCTCTCCTATCATCACATCTCATCACATCACACCACTATGTAGCCACGCGGGAGACATCTCAGACCATCAGCACCAGCAGCTATACCACCACCACCACCACAACCACAACCACAACTACTTCTTCTGGAAGTGTGAACAGCTCCATTAATAGCAAGTTCTCTGTGTCAACCGGTGATCAACCTTATCCAAATGGACAGATCCTACCCGCCTCTAATTTAAGGATTTTCTCCTTTGCCGACTTGAGAGCTGCGACTAGGAACTTCAGACCTGATACAGTGCTTGGAGAGGGAGGTTTTGGGAAAGTCTTCAAGGGTTGGCTTGAAGAGAAGGGCATGTCGTCGAAGAGTGGAAGCGGAACAGTCATTGCCGTTAAAAAACTTAACTCTGAAAGCCTACAAGGAATTGAGGAGTGGCAGGTATCCTTCGCCTGATGTGGATAACAATCAAACCCCTTTTTACTTTAGACAAGTGTCTTCTCTAAGATAACTTTGTATCTTATGTACTTTTATGCCTCCTCCTGCCTGCCCCCAGAAGATTAAATTTTATGCATCTACTGTTTCTTACTCAAATTACAATTAATTGATTTACTAAGCAAAAAGTCTAAGATCTCAAACTCGTATGGGTAGCATACAGAAAAGTAGTTCGATTAAACTAATGGTTCATTCATTTGGTGCAGTCTGAAGTAAATTTTCTCGGACGCCTTTCCCATCCTAATCTTGTTAAGCTGTTGGGATACTGTTTGGAGGAAACAGAGCTTCTTCTAGTCTATGAATTCATGCAAAAAGGAAGTTTGGAAAACCATCTATTTGGAAGTGAGTGCTGAATTAAATACCATTGTCTTGGCAAGTGTATTATCAGTTCGAACATGATATAAAATAGCAAAATCAATACATCTTTTCAACTGAAAGCTACATTATTTTAATTCTAGGGGGTTCTGCGGTTCAACCACTTCCTTGGGACATCAGGCTTAAGATAGCAATTGGAGCAGCTCGTGGCCTTGCATTCTTGCATACATCCGAGAAAGTAATTTACAGAGATTTCAAGGCCTCAAATATATTGCTTGATGGGGTGAGCTACGCAATACCCTGCCAAATCTTCTTAGCAAAATAAGCTTTTTATATAGGAAGAAGAAAAATTTAAATTAGTTGCTCAATAAGCTAGAATTAATTTCTGTAAAATTCATTTTGTAGAAGTTGTCATATAACTCTTTTTATATGTTTATTTCTAACTTACGCTTTAAGTTAATTTTAGCTTACGAAGAAGTTCATTTCATTTTTTTCTTCTAATTTTTATCTCCTAGAAGTGTGTACGAGAGAAGTTTGTTTAATCATGTATATTTATTGTTGCCATGTTAATATTTTCTAACTTCAGTATCACAAATCGTTTAAGTTTAGTATGTACCATAAAAATAAGGTGCACAACTTAATTAGTTTCTATTATGCTACAGTCCTATAACGCAAAGATATCAGATTTTGGCTTGGCAAAACTGGGTCCTTCAGCTAGTCAATCCCATGTGACAACAAGGGTGATGGGCACATACGGTTATGCAGCTCCTGAATATGTGGCCACAGGTAATGTAACACTGTTCTAATATTAGTGCATATTTCGTAGAACTCAATTTTGTTTTTCTTTTCAAAACTCTTTGGGTAATGTGATGTTATTTTGTGCAACTGCATTGGGACTGGAAATTTAAACTGATTATTAAAGTACTATCCCTTTGAATGTGTTTGGTTTATGATACAGGGCATCTATATGTCAAGAGTGATGTATATGGGTTTGGAGTTGTTTTGGTAGAAATGCTAACAGGGCTACGAGCACTTGATCAGAACCGTCCAAGTGGGCAACATAATCTAACAGACTGGGTGAAACCATACCTGCATGACAGAAGAAAGTTGAAGGGCATTATGGATTCTCGATTGGAAGGAAAGTTTCCATCGAAAGCTGCATTCCGTATAGCTCAGCTTGCTTTGAAATGTCTTGCGTCTGAGCCCAAACAGCGGCCATCAATGAAGGAGGTTTTGGAGAATTTGGAGCGAATTCAAGCTGCCAGTGAGAAAGATGTGGAGCCTAAATTCCGATCCACTCATACCCGTCAAGCTCACCAGGCTGTGCACCATCGTTCTCCACTTCAGGACGGAAGTTACTAGTTTCTCTTCAGAAAACTAATCCCTTTTGGTTGTGTTGTTTTGTCTCCATTCAAGAGTTTGCCACTCGTTCATTTGTAATGTATTTCTTGGACTCAGATTTGTACGTGTAAACCATACATATATTAGTAAAGTGTAAATTATTGCTTGTGTTTTGCTAAAGCAGATGGAGAGGTCCATGACTATAGTATCAGAAAAGTGACTGCATTAAACTTGACTAGTCTTTCTTGATACAGTGTCTATCATTGTTATATATATATATATATATATGGTGAAAGAAACATTGATTAGTTACTTCAGCAGCTTTGGGGATGCACAACTAATTGTTGATGGACAATCCATGATAATCAAAAATCATGTTACGATCATTTTCTTTGATTCATTCTTATAGTATTTTTCTGCTTGAAAATGTAACTTTTCAAGAGATATTGTTAGAATGTTTTCAAGAATTCACATTTTATACAGCAATAGTGTACAAAATTTAAAATATTAATTAATTAAAAAATATTATTAATATTGGCTGAAGTACATGTGTCCGCATTTTGTTATGTGTATGGAGACATGGACCTGATGCGTGTTTGATTTTGAGAATTATTAATAGGTTTTTTAAGTGAAGTGAGTGATTACTTAAATAGTTATTAATTTATATTTTATTAAATAATTAATTATTTTTATTTGATAAAGGACAAAATAATTATATAAAAAATGACAAAAAATAGATATGAAGCGGGAATCTCATTTATATGAAAAAAGGATTATATATTATTAGAGTAATATTATAAAACATTTTTTAATCATAAAGATCTATGATTAAATTATTTTCATTAAGTGAACGTAACTCAATAATTTTAAGAAAATTCAATGAGGTTTAAGACAGGAAGAGTGAGTTCTAAAAGGAATATTTAAGATAAGTTTCGTGAGAGGAAAAAAAGGGTCCACATAGAATAACTGCCTCGTAGGTTCCGTTTAGAGAGAGAGGATGAGGAAGAGATAAAGCATTAATGAATGAAGGCACTCAATACTCGTGTCCCGCGAGTTAGGACTACTGAGTAGCAGGAGGATCATCGTATAATATTCACACGCGTTATTCTTGTTTTGCAGTCTCCACTGAACAACAATATGGATTTCGTCTTCTCCGTTGCTTTTTTGTTACAGGCAAGTACTCATTCCTCTTTCTCTCCATCATCGATAACTTGGTTGACTTCAACTTGGACTACCCTGCCATCACTATGTAGGTGTTCTTGCTCTCTTCGCCTTCGCTCTCTGCTGCCTCACAACATGAAACGTATAGGTACGGATAAATCTACTTTCGGAAATTATCATCACTCTTTCCAAACCACTAATTTGTCATAAGCATTTAATTTCTCTTAGGGCTAAGCATTCTGAAGAATACTGCGCAATGTATGATATATGCGGTCAACGCAGTGATGGGAAGGTTCTCAATTGCCCTTATGGTTCCCCTTCAGTCAAGGTTATTCATTCATCTCTTATTTACTTCTTAATGCCGCACCACCTCCACCATCCTTTAATTTAACCACTTTCCGCTGCTTTGGTTTCTAACTCCAGCCTGACGACCTACTGTCAGCCAAAATTCAAAGTTTGTGTCCCTCCATTACTGGAAATGTTTGTTGTTCGGCGGATCAGTTTGACACACTAAGAGGTCAGGTTCAACAGGCAAGTTCCCTTTCTCTGTTGTTTAAGTCTCTGATTTTATGTGGATATTTCGTTCGTCCTGATTAAATGTGAAATTCAAGAGATTCACATGCTGAGTGATTTTGACTGTGGCCTTGTGCATTAGCTTGCTCTTAGTTAAAAGGTTGTGATATAACCTATTTATGTTGGAAATGCTCTTTCTAGCTTATGATAAACTACGTTAATTATTCTTTGTGCGGGTATCCCAAAAGCTTATCTAATAGCAGCGGTAATATAGAGGAGACGGGGGAGAACATGTACAGCCTATGTCTAATTATTTTATGAATATTCTTGTACTACTCTCATTAATCATCCCACTGACAGGACATATTCACCAAAAGACCCTTAATGTTTATTTGTGTTTATTATGCAGTAACAGAAACGTATTATATCTTGCAGGCAGTACCAATTCTTGTGGGCTGTCCAGCATGCCTGAGGAATTTTCTAAATCTTTTTTGTGAACTTTCTTGTTCTCCTAATCAGAGTTTATTCATCAATGTGACTTCTATTTCCGAGGTCAGGCATTTACTTCTCAGAACTTGCTTTGTAGTAACTCTGTTTCATTGACTAGTATGTTGGTTTGTACACTTTCATGGTTGCGTTGGTCTTTAGTTATGTTAAAAAATTGCTATAACTTATTACTATAGTAATATTTTGGCATAGTATTGCTGGTGTCGTTTTTCTTCTTTTTATGAAGCTAAAGTAGTGTAAACTAGCACCCACAACAAATGTAATAGTAACCAACACTCAAAAAGAGAAGAGAAACAGAGACCCAACATTGAAACAACACCCAAAATTTGGATGCAGGGAAAAATAATTTCATTCAGCCATGTCTATCAGTGTCATAACGAGCAAATAACAGATAAAAGGAAAAAGTGAATCAACAGTCCCTCCTCTCTCCTCTAACGAATTTCCCTTTTAAACCACGTAATCTTCAACCAAGCACTTACTCTCTTGGATCATGTGTTTCTGTCATTTTCTTTGCTAACCCTATTATCATCCACGTGTCCCCCTTTCATTGGTTTGCCTGTAACGGTCTCTAGTTCATTTTCCTTCTGTACTCTCATTACATTACTCCTCCATCAAAATCAACCTTGTCCCCAAGGTTGAAATGAGGTAAGCCTTGGCAATCATAGTGGTATCTTCCCAAGTTGCATCTACTGTTGAACCGTTTTCCCACTGAATTAAGGATTGATGCACTTGATGATCACCCCTAACGATGATCCTTGAATTTAAAACTGCCATAGGTTGAATAAGGGGGGGGGGGGGGTGGGTGGGATCTCACTGATACATATTGGTAATGGAACATATGGCTGATCATGGTTGCCTCTGCATAACTTCAACTGTGAAACATGAAAAACTGGATGAATCTTCGTTGAAGGAGGTAATTGAAGTTTGTAAGCCATCTTTCCAATTTTGCCTATCAAAACAAATGGACCAAAATATTGTAGCCCCAACTTTTGATTTTTTTTCAAAGCCATAAAATGTTGTTGATATGGTTGGAGTTTCACCAAAACCAAGTCACCAATCTGGAATTCCACATCTAATCGCCTCTTATCTGCATATTTCTTCTGGATTTGCTGAGCTCGCTGCAAATTGAACTTGAGCTTTTGCAGTATTGCATCCCTTGACAGTAATTGCTCTTGTACTGAAAGTGTGTCAGTATCGTGGGAAACATGTTTGAGTATTTTTGGTGGATCTCTCCCATACACCACTCTAAAGGGTGTCATACCCATGCTAGTGTGGTATGATGTATTGTACCAATATTCAGCCCATGATAACATCTTAAACCACTCCCTTGATGCATCAAAAGTGAAACAACGTAAATACAATTCCAGGCATTTATTAAGAGTTTCAGATTGGCCATCGGATTGTGGATGGTAGGCTGAGGACATCTTGAGGGTGGTGCCATTGAATTGTCATAAAAATTTCCAAAATTGACTCGTAAAATTTGTCTCTATCCGATATTATGGATTTTGGTAGTCCATGTAATTTTATTATGTTTTTGAAGAATAGCTCAGCAACTAATTTGCTAGTAAAATTCTGATTCATTGGAAGAAAGTGAGCCGCCTTAGATAGCCTATCAACGACTACATAGATTATTGTGAAGCCATAAGAGACAGGTAGTCCCGTTATGAAGTCCATTGCCAAGTCCTCCCAAATCTGGTCCGGTATTGGGCAATGTAGTGGTCATCTTTGCTTGTTGACAAATCAAACACTGTAGCACATATAGTTTAATATCGTGGTGCATCCCATTTTAATAGAATTGTGCAAAAATTCTAGCAAGAGTTCGAGAGAATCCTGCATGGCCTCCGATCACTTAACTATTGAACTCTTTCAATATATTCTGAATTAATTCATGGCCTACGGGAATTACAATTTTGGATTTCCATAATAACAACCCTTGATGTACCGAATAAGGAGGATCACACCCCGAGTTGTTTGCATAAGCATTAATCAAGGTTTAAATGTCCTTGTTGGCAGCTTGTGTGTGCTGCAATTTAGTCAATAAAGTCGGCACCGCTTGAGACCAAGCAACGTAGAATGACCTGGAGAGTGCATCAGTGGGTATATTTTCTCTCCCTGGCTTATATTCTATAGTAAAGTCATAACGAAGTAGCTTATGAAGCCTCTTTTGCTGCTCTGGAGTTTGTAAGCACTGTTCCATCAAAGTTCACAAGCTTTTCTGATCTGTTCTAAGCACAAACTTGTGACCAAGTAAATAATGCCTGAATTTTGCCATTGCCTCTATGAGAGCATATAATTCTCGCGCATATGCTGACTGTTTCTGCATTGCTGGGGACATTTTTCTGGAAAAATATGCAATTGGATGTTTTTGTTGAGTCAAGACAGCGCCTATCCTCATTCCAGAGGCATCCGTTTCTAACTGAAATGGTAATGAAAAATTGGGTAAAGCCAACACAGGACCTTGTGTTAAAGTTGTCTTCAATTTAGTAAAGGCTTGTACCGCTGTTTCAGACCATTTAAAACTATCTTTTTTGAGTAATTCCGTGAGTGGACCAGCCAAGGTGGCATAATTCTTGACAAATCGTTTATAATAGCCTGTCAATCCGAGAAAGTCTCTTAATTGTTTAAGATTTGTAGGTACGGGCCAAGCTAATACAACTTGAATCTTACTTTCTTCCATAACAATTCTTGATGTTGAGATTGTGTGGCCCAGATATTCCACCTGTAGTTTGCCAAATGAACATTTAGAGAGTTTGACATAAAGTTTATTCTCCTGTAACAGTTGGAGTACGTGCTGCAAATGTTGTAAATGTGTGCACCATCAAGGACTATAAACCAAGATGTCATCGAAAGAAACCAAAACAAACTTTCGTAGCAGTTTTTGAAAAATTGTATTCATGAGAGCCTAGAATGTTGTTGGGGCAATAGTTAGCCCAAATGGCATCACTCTCCACTCATATAAGCCTTGATGAGTTCTAAAGGCAATTTTATACCTGTCCTCTTCATGCACCAGAATTTGGTGATAACTCGCTCATAGATCCAGCTTGGAACAAAATTTAGCTCCATGCAACTCATCACCAGTGGGAATTGGGAAGCTATCCTTAACAGTAATTACATTCAAAGCCTTGTAATCGGTACAAAATCTCTATGTGCCATCTTTCTTTTTTACTAAGATAATTGGGGAAGAAAAAGGACTATTGCTTGGCACAATTATTCCCATTTGCAATATTTCCTCAACCATTTTCTCAATCTGCAGTTTTTGGCTAAATGGATAGTGATATGGCCTCACTTTAATAGGATTTGACCCCTGTAACAGAGGGATAACATGTGTATGAGATCGGTGGGGTGGAGACCACTTGGTTCATCAAAGACTCTTTTATAGGTACGTAGTAATAAGGCTAACTTTGGTTCCGTATCAACTAGTAATGCCAACAATTTATCTTGGGTGGTGTTGGTGTGGTGAAACTGGAGACAATACATTTCAGCAATGACCTTTGTGTTAAAATTCTCTTCAAATGATGGAATTGTGCTGGAGCTGTTAGCTTCGTTTGCTCTCCTCTCAAGATTACAAATTGATCATTCAGCATGAATTTCAAGGATAAATTACTATAATCCGAAATATGAGCTCCAATTGTGGCTAATCATGAAGCTCCCAATACCAATTCTGCACCTAATATCGGTAGTAAGTATGTTGGCCGTTTAATTGTATGATTTTGGATGTTAACTTCCAATTTCTTGATGAGTCCCTCCATTACCAAAGCACTGTCATTACCCACAAGAACATTAAAATTGGCAATTGGTTCCACGGGCAGTTTAAGACAAGCTGCAATGTGTGGCTGTAAAAAGTTGCCTGAACCCTACTATCCAAGAGAACTTGAATTGGTAAGCCATTAATAATACCCTTAAATCTCATAGTTGCCACTCCATCTGAGCCCTTAAGGGCATTTAAAGACAGGTGTGGTTCAGGCTGAAGTGGAGGTTCGGTGTTACCCTCCCTAACACTGACATCCATTATGAAATCCTCTGATGTCTCGGCTTCTTCATCTAAATGCAACCATAGGTACTATTTGTTTGGACATTTATGAGAGGGCAAGTATATTTCATCGCAAGTGAAACAAAGTCCTTTTTCTCTTCTTAGTTGCACCTCTACAGGAGATAACTTCTTGACCAAGGCCTTTGTTGGTGGAAGAGATGTGGCTAGTTTGTTTAATAATGGCGGTAAGGTTGTAGTCTTAAGTGAGTGTGATGGTGTAGTGGTGGACATACTTTGTGTATAACCCTGGACCCAAAATTTTTTTGTTTGGTCACATACTTTTCTTCAAATAGTTTGGCCAGCGATACATGTCTCATCAAGGTTGTTGGAGCCTGAACCAGAACATCTCTGCAGATGTCTTAACGTAACCCTCTGACAAAACCGTCAAGGAGAGCCTCTGTGGTGATACCTTGAATGCGATTGGCCAAAGTTGTGAACTTATTAACATAATACTCCTGTGCGGATCCTTCTTGTGTGAGTGTGAATAAATTTGATCGAGGACATTCATAAGGTGAAGGTCCGAATTCCAATTCCAATGCTCGCGTGAACGTAGTCCAACTCAGAAATGCATGATTTTTAACTTGCATCTAAAACCATGGAACCACCTCTTTTTCCAGATGTATAGATGCAATGAGCAAACGTTGATCATCGAGGTTTTATAGTAATAAAAAAATTGTTCCGCCTTGAAAATCTAGTGCAATACCTCAGAACCATCAAACTTAGGGAAATCCAGTTTGACGTTTTGAACTTGAAATGACGGAGATGAAGAGGAGCCGCGTGAACATGTATCCAGCGCTTGAATCGACTTCAAAATTGAATCCATTGAAGTTTCCAATGTCTTGAAACTAGTAGAATCGTCCTTTTGACGTGCCTGAAGAGTGGCAATCAAGCTCTTCAAATTCGTATTCGTAGTCACTACTGTAGTGGCCAATTGCTTCAGATCCCCCATTGAATCCTTAATGCGAGTCAGCTTGCTTTGTAGCTCCTTCAATCTTGTATTCTCCACCATGAAAAGAATGAAAGCACCAATGTAAGCTAGCGCCCACAACGAATGTAACAGTAACCAACACTCAAAAAGAGAAACAGAGACCCAGCGTTAAAACAACACCCAAAAATTGGATGCAGGGAAAAATTATTTCATTCAGTCATGTCTGTCAGTGCCATAACGAGCAAATAACAGAGAAAAAGAAAAAGTGAATCAAGAGAAAGGAATGATCTCAACAATTCCCCCTCCCCCCCTCTCTCTCCTCTAAAAACTTTCCCTTTTAAACCACGTAATCTTTCAGCCAAACACTTGCTCTCTTGGATCGTGTGTTTCTGTCATTTTCTTTGCTGACCCTACTATCATTCACGTGTCCCGGTTTCATTGGTTTGCTTGTAACGGTCTCTAGCTCATATTCCTTTTGTACTCTCATTACAAGTAGCTTCCACCCAACCAAATTATTTTATTTATACAAAGATAATGAATCCCAAAACAACTTACAAGAGAACAATCAAGATACAACTACTTGGAATTATGCATTGAACCTAGCTACATCAAGTACTTAGGAAAAATGGACAAATAAACACTAAAGAGGTTCTTATCTTCTAAACTATTCCTATTTCCACAAGTCAGTCGATCTTAAAGAAAGGGGAAAGCCCTTTTGATATCACTTTGAGTGTGTACACCATGAAGGCAGGCCTTTGTTTTGTTATATAATAATCAAGAAATCAGTTTTCTCTTCATGTTGTTTAGTCTTATAAATACCTCTGTAGACTATAATTGATATTGACCATCTTATGTTCATATCAGGTTAATGGTAATATGACTGTGGATGGCATTGATTTTTACATAGCTGAAACTTTTGGAGAAGGTCTATATGAATCGTGTAAGGATGTAAAGTTTGGGACAATGAATACAAGGGCAATAGATTTTGTTGGGGCTGGAGCTAGCAATTTTAAAGGTGATCCATTGTAATATGGAAAAATTTATTGTATGAAATATATGAAATCTGTTAACAATTGATATTACCACCCTAATTTGCACAATTCTCTCTTGTATCGATATGTTCATTGTGAATATGTGTCTTTATTTCGGGAATGGATCTTTAGTTTTGCACATGGATAAATGGTAAAATTGGGAATTAAGTTAATGTTAGCAAATAATCCTCCTATGTAGATGTGGGCATATTTTTGCCATGTCTGTAGTTCCAAGGTAGTTTGCAGTTATACAGGTTAGCCATGAAAAAATACACAATAGATCCTCGTATGTAGATGGACATGTTTTTTCTTTCATATTTTGGTACTACTAAGTTGATGCTTCGGATATTTTGTTTTTCTTATCATTGAATATTTCATTTTCCCTTTATCTCAATTTTGAATGTATTATACTTGTTCTTCTTCTGCTAATGCATTTTGTTTCTGATTATTGTTGCCAGAGTGGTTTGACTTTCTTGGTCAGAAAGTTCCTCCTGGTTTTCCTGGTTCACCTTATTCTATACTTTTCAAGACAACCATTCATGATCCATCTCCTATGAAACTAATGAATGCATCTGTATATTCATGTAATGACACTTCGCTGGGTTGCTCTTGTGGTGATTGTCCTTCATCACCTGTTTGCTCCGCTCCGGAACCTTCTCCACCAAGCAATGCTCCCTGCTCCATTAGAATTGGGTCTCTAAAGGTTGAAACAATAAAGATATTTCCTTGTTTGTGATTAAATTTCATTTGCTTTATGACTGAATAAATTCTGTTAATTTTTTTTTTCGTCAAATTAATCCTTACTGATGTAGTGCAACATTTGGTTGTCTACTGAAAAACTGTTTTTCATCTTTGATGCATGTCATGAAACTGGTTTTTGTATAATGATACCTACAGGTCAGATGTGTGGATTTTTCATTGGCCATCTTGTACATTGTATTGGTTTTCGTGTTGTTTGGGTGGGCGTTGCTGCAGAGGAAAAGAGGAAGTAGGAGACTTGAATCCAGTGAGGAACCATTGTTGAATGATATGGTTGGTGAAGGGAGTAGTTTTGCTAACCTCCAAAAGGATGGAATTCATCCTGTAGAGGTATGTTCAAAAGTTTGTTTGTTATCAGCCCATCCTATTAGGGATTCAGAATGAAGATTTCAATTGTTGTTGTTACCGAGGAAACCAACTGTCCCAAAAGCTAGTTGTTAGATGATGTCAAATGAATAATTTTCTTACTTTTATAATCTACATATCAATTCATGCAAGAGATCATTAGGGTTGATACATAGATAATGTGCAGGTTGACTTGTCTTGTGCTTAATTCCAACTTAATTATTTAAAAGAATAGGAGCTGCAAGGGTTGAACTGTAGACTACTTGGTCAAATAGGCTTTAATGGTATATAATAAACCAACTATCTCATAGAGATCAAATGTCTATCAATTAACACTGACTAATAATAGGGAACCATTATTTATTCTTTGAAATAAATGATATTCCAAATCACCAGATACATAATGCCCCTTCAAAATTTCTTTGTTGTGGTTGCCACACTATATTTTGTATTATTGTATTTTTACTGCATTGGACCATTACTCGGGAATACTTTGTCAAAATGTCTCTGCATCTAACATAAGTAGGGACTAGGAAGCTATTTTCTATTGAAAAGTAATTCATAGAAGATATTGGAGTTCTAGGAAACACTATCTCTAATGATTTGCATAACGCAATCATATCACAACTTTGTTGAGTTTTCGTCTTGGTTTAAGCTGAGACCTAATTTAATTCATTAAATCTTGTTTCTCGATTTACCTCTTCAAATTCTACGTTATGATGTGTTAAGAGTTAAATAATTTATTGCACATGTATAATGAGCAGTTTTACTCATTACTCATTATTATTTTATTGACTTCTTTACAAATAAAAGGTGCAACTGATAGATCATCAAGGTCAGAATGTGGTGCAATTTTCTTTTGTTCAAGAATGGCTGTCGGGCTTTTACAGGTTAGTGGTTCTAGTAGTTCTTGTTAGGTTTACAATTACATAAACTTTGTTTTGTTTTTCATCCAGGACTTATGGAAGATGGGCTGCTAGAAAACCCACAATTGTGCTTTTTTCTTCATTGGCAATTGTTGTTTTGCTTTGTTTGGGTCTGGTTCGTTTTGAAGTGGAGACCCGGCCTGAGAAGGTACCATATCTTTAGCTGTAGGATCTGCACAGTGTGCAATTTGGATTTGCTTCTGTAACTTCTATATACATAAATTGTCCATCTTGTTCACGCCTGAGAAATGATGAGTTTTATTTTTTCTGATCTCCCCTTAGACATGTTTGGATGATCTGTTGGAACATATGCTTAAATGTTAAGCATTAGGTCCTGAAACCATTTTTTGGGTTCTAACAGGCAGGTAGTCCAGCAATTTGCATAGGTTTAAAGTTTGGAGAGTCTACACTAGCACGAGTGGAAAGGGAATTGGAGGGAATAGCAAGCTGGCAGAGAGAGAAATGAAAGATGGGTAGGTAGTTATCAAATCGGTGGAGATAATGAGAATGGGGTATCTTTGGAGGAAATTAGTTACGATCGTAATGGGTAGAGAGGAGTAGCTGTCTATAAGAGCATTGCTCAGTAGCAGTAGAATCATCTTTCTGCTGTAATTCCTCCATATAAAAAAATAATACAAGACTTTTCTTCTCATTGTTGAGTGCTTGCCCTTAGATTCTAGTGTATTGGTTTCTGGTTTGTTTTGTCAAGAACATTTTGTATAACAGCTTTAGCAAATTAAAATTGTTTTACAATGAGAATCTATACCGATAAATAATGTGATGAAAAATATTTTCATAAAGGCTAATAGTTCCACCAAATAAATGCTCTAAACAAAAACAATACTATCCAAGTGTTCATCTGATAAAAACAACTTTTCTGTCTGCTTGAGCTTTTAGGATACATACCATTCAATTTCTGGGCCTTAGTTCCTGAATTTTAGAGAATTCATGATTCACCATTGAAATTTTATGATGGTTTTCATGTTCTTTTACTTGATGAAAGATATTTATTCTCTAAATGAGTTTTATACAACAAAATGTTTTCTATAGTATTTAATCTAAAGTCACTTAATAAAGGTAGTAAGTTTTAAAAAGAAGTCATACTAATATAAGTTTCAAAAAAAAAAAAATATAAGCTTGTAATACTAATTTTGTTCTTGAAGTTGAAGAGTATTTGCCTTGCCGTCTTTTTTGTGTTGCAGTTATGGGTTGGTCCTGCGAGTAAGGCAGCTGAAGAAAAAGATTTTTTTGATAGCCACCTTGCTCCATTCTACCGAATCGAACAGGTTTCAGTTTGCTTAGAATTTCTCTTACTTTTTTCTTGTCTAGGAATTCCCATGTGATCTAGTTACTAAAATTAAGCTATCAACCGTAATTTCCTTTAAATCTTTTGTTCAATTCTTATTTTCTGCTAGTATTTTATTTTAAATAGATCACATCTTAAATATGTGTACATTTCAGCTCATAATTGCAACAATCCCAGAATCTAAGCATGTCAAGCCTCCAAGTATCATAACAGAAGAAAATATTGAGTTGCTTTTCGAAATACAGGAAAAGGTGTTTTAGTTTCTGTTCTTTTCACTTACTAGAATCTAAATGGAGCTGTTGTATGCTTAGTGGGACATTTTTATTAATAAATATGTTAACATTTCAATATTCCAACAGGTTGATGGAATTCGTGCAAATTATTCTGGTTTTTTAGTATCTCTAAGCGACATTTGCTTGAAGCCTTTAGGCGAAGATTGTGCCACTGAAAGCATTTTGCAGGTCCACCCCCCTACAAACTATTCCTGTAGTACTCTTGAATATTGTATTGCAAAAATTAATTATTTGGCTTCTATTAACCAGCTGGATTTTCCTATTCAGTTCTATTTCAATTTACCATTTTTTTTTTCTTGGCTTGCCTAGAAGTCTTTGATTGATTCCCTTTTTTCTCATTTATATTCTAATAGTATTTTCAAATGGACCCTGACAATTACGACAACTACGGAGGTGTTGAACATGCTGAGTATTGTTTTCAGGTAAACTTCTGTAATGAGTTACCTTAGTAAATATTATTCAGAGGAGTTTAATGTACAGCTGTTTACTTTATGAGCAAACAAGAATTGTAAAGAAAAAAGATTAATGTTTTAAGAAAGACTAAATTCCAATAAATATACTACTTCAAGTTAAAGTATCTGTGTATCTATGGGTGGTCTACCTGCTTTTTCATTTTTTCCCCCTTTATAGATAATGTAGCCTATTGCATCAAATGTATTGAATTGAATGTGTAAAGCTCCCTTGGTTCTTCTATACATAATTACATCTCGTAGATTATACAGAATAGCCCTTCGCATGTTTAATAAGACTTAAAAAGTGTTGTGGTTTGTCTCTCTATCTAATGAATGTGGCCTCTAATTATTTGATTTGTTGTTTTCAGCATTACACTTCTACAGAAACATGCTTTAGTGCATTTAAGGCTCCCCTTGAGCCAACTACTGCCTTGGGCGGGTTTTCTGGAAACAATTATTCTGAGGTAAGAATATTGAATTTTGCATAGATGCCTTTTTATGCATTACTTACTGCAATGCTGATTATCCTATTCTAGGCTTCTGCATTTGTTATCACGTACCCTGTCAATAATGCAATTATGAAAGTTGGAGACGAGAATGGGAAGGCAATAGCTTGGGAAAAAGCTTTCATCCAGTTAGCTAAGGTATGAAAAATATATTCATTGCAGTGATTAATTCTTGTGTATATCTTATACACACAGAATCTTCATTTTATTTACTTCTTATTATGGGCATGTTTCCATGAATCCTTATGTTATAGTTGTGTTCTTGATTTCTAAAGCCCAAAAGATCAATTTCCTTTTTCCTTTTGCTGTCAAATTCCCCTGTGCCTCTTTGGGCCTAAAAACGTTCCACTCTTCCTGTCATTAATAACCACCTAAAATTCCCACTATTCCTTTTGGCAAAAACAAAGTTATTTCACCTAAAATTACCAATCTTCCTTTGACAAAAATAAAAATTATGCCCCCACTTTACCTTTAAGAAAACTATTACTGTACTTTTTTTCTCTTCTCCTAGACTAAAACCACTACCCTCGTATTCTCTTTCCCCACGAAGCCACTCTCCCTTCTCTGTTTTTACTGCAGTCTTCTCTGAATGGTTTTTTAAAGATACCTAATGTGCAGGTTTGCCTATTTTTTGAGCGAGTGTTCTTTTTCATGTTGTATAATATAGCTCATTTGTATTTGCCAGCTGAATTCTATGGGTACTTTATTATTATTATTATTATTATTATTATTATTATTATTATTATTATTATTATCATCATCATCATCATTTGTCTTTTCTTCTCTTTCCTTATCCATACACATTTTGAATCAATTTACATTTGGAAGGAGGAATTGCTGCCAATGGTGCAAACTAGCAATCTCACCTTGTCATTTTCAACTGAAAGCTCAATTGAGGAAGAACTAAAGAGAGAAAGCACTGCAGATGTCATAACAATACTTGTAAGAAATTTCTGTTTCTTTCAACTGAATGTAAAAACATGATTTGGTTTAGCTATAAGTAGGACTGTTAAAATGGGTGGCCTAGCCCAGCTTGGCTTGGTCCTACAAGTCAGGTAAAAATATTAATAGTCCAACCTGACCTATATTTTAAAACGGATCATAAATTTTGACCTATATAAAAATAATTAATTAAAAAATATTTAAATACAAATGAATTTTTTTAAATTATATTAATAAAATTAATTTTTATTCAGATATAATGATTTAATATATAAGTTACAAAAAAATGGATTCATTAAGTTCCAAAATAAGAGTTTAAAACTTACTCTTCATTATCATTATTTATTTTTTAGTAATTGATTGATCTAAAATAACAATTCAGTTTAACCATTAAATCCTAGAATAAGTGGATATTAAAAATTTACTCTTATATATATTCTTCCAATAAGTGAATCACTTATCAAATTAATTTATGATACATATATTTTTTTAATAAAATAATATTATTTTTTATTTAAAAAATAATTATTTTTCTATAAAACAGATCAACTCATAAGCTTATGGGTTATCTTGACCTAAGTCTAAGTAAGTCATGGCCTAAAAGGGTTAAAGCCAACATAGACCTGATTCAATTTAGGTTATAAATTTTTTAACTTAATTTAATCTATTTCTTGAGCTTGCCTATTAGGCTAAGTCTATTTTGACACCTTTAGGTGTAAAGTCATGATCTAATTAGTTTGGTTGTGGATTTATAAAGACATGCTTTATTGGAATGCACAATAAATTTCTTTTCCAACATATTGCTAGGTGAGCTATATTGTGATGTTTGCTTACATATCAGTGACCTTGGGAGATAGACCGCCTCATTCATCTTCTTTCTTCCTCTCGTCCAAGGTATTCTATTTTTCTTGAAGCTTGCAATTGTTTTTTTGCCATTAATGCATCTAATGTACATTCTGAAATTGAATTGTTTGTGTATATTCAAAAGTCAAAACAGTCATCCCGAATTTATGTGCTAATATCTGCTCAAGTGCACATCTTGATGTAAATGCTCTTAACTAATTCTCAGAGGGATTCCAAACTACTAAACATTCCTAGCAGACCTGAAGTGTAGACCATTATGTTTGATATGAGAGAGACAAAGAATGTGAGGAGAATTTCTGAATTTACTCAGCAGTATGATGTATTTATAATAATTGTGATAGAAAGATGGTAAATAACTCCTACTATTTCCAAGAGAATTACATCCTAAGATACATTGAACATAGTTAAAGACAACAACTAAGGTGTTTGGAAGAGTAATAATTAAATGTTACTGTTTTCAACACTCCATCTCAATGTGGAGCATAGATGTTTTCTAATCCCAGCTTGCATATAATTCTTTCAGAGTGTGAACTATACAATCCTTTGGTTACAATATCTGCAAGTGTTGACCTTGTGAAGTTACATATGAAGTAGAAATCAAACCACAATAATGTTCTACCTTGTTAAATTGCCTACCCACTTCAATCCATTTCGTTTGATCATGCTGAGTAGAATTACAAGCTATGCTAATTGTTAACTTATTATCATAATAGAGTTTCATAGGTCCATTCCATTTAATCTTCAAGTCTTCTAAGGTGAGTAGAGGGAAACAAATAATGTGAGAAGGGAGAAACCTAGATTTTCTTTTTCTTACAATATTTCAAATGTTATGTAGCATCTTCAACTTTCACTATCATTTTTTTATATTTCTCATTCTTCAACTTTATGTTATTCAGGTATTGCTCGGTCTTTTGGGGGTTTTGCTTGTTATGCTTTCTGTCCTTGGATCAGTTGGATTTTTCAGTGCTATTGGAGTAAAATCAACATTAATCATAATGGAAGTCATACCTTTTCTGGTTTTAGCTGTAAGTCTTTATGTTTTTGTCATTATCAAGTTGATTTCATGAATTGCTATGAGACATTATTTTGTCTTGTATTAGTATTATGCACATTGAACGGATTAAGTGTAGGAGACATCGGTTGCCTCCAAATATGTTGGGGGGTGGAGGGGTGCCAAAACCAATTTGCAAAGTACCCATGCTTGTAAGAGAATAAGCAAAAGCGAATTTCCTTAATTTTTGTTTTGCTAGTTGTCTGATATTCTCTATATTAGGCAGTTATAACTGTCATCATGACATTTATAACGGACACATTTGTTACTTTGAGGCTATAGCAACTTATCAGGATCTTTGTATTATTACTTGTACACAAAAAGCTTAGCATCTTTTGTAATCTTTGAATATTTAGTATTGCAATAATACAATTTTGGTCATGGCAAACTCTTCGCATACACCACCGATCCCTTCGCCACACTCTACTTTTCTTTTTGAGGTCGATTTTCATTATGTGAGGAGAAGATCCATCATGGAGAAATTTGTAGGGAACTTCCACATTGTCAATCTCAATTCTTGAAGGGCAGCTATATATATCAGTTGAACAATTTTGTTTAATGTCAATTGGTTTTAAAATGAAATCTGATATGATATCAAAATCTAATGTTCTTCTTGGTAATTACCTTTTCTAGTAGACTCGCTTGGGGCACATGTCTGTGGAAGGGGATGGGTTTTGATAAGTCCTATGTTGCTATCTTTTAAACAACTTCACTTTATGATAATTAGTTTTAAGTTGACATCTAATAAAATTATGACTGATTTCATCAAGTTAATTATTGAGTTTAGTGAGTTGCTTTTAACATTTTCACCAAGATTCTTTGAGGTCCACGAGTTAATTATGTATGTAACAAGCTTGTTTCATGATACTATGCAACAACTTTAGAGGAGTGGGTAATGTTACTATAATTATAATTATTAGAATGTTGGACTTAAGATAAAATAAAAGATTGAAAATAGATTTTAGAGGGCTTAATCACACCTTTCACATGATATCTTATTTATAATGATAAGAACATATACACTGAGTAGATGGAAGGTTAGGGGGTAGAAGTCTGAGCTAGAAAACATAGGTACATAGATAGGTACAACTAATTAATAATTTCAACAACTAAATAATAATTCCAACACTTCCCCTCAAGCTGGAGCATATAGATTGTATGTATCAAACTTAGAACAAATGAACACAATCCGAGGACCCCTTAATAATTTTGTTAACACATTTGCAAGTTGGTCATTAAATCCAATATGGAATACTGGATTAGAGGCAATATGTAGTGCAACTTGATTATCACAGTACATTTTCATGGTTCGGATCTCACAAAATTTAAGCTCTTGAAGGTATTGTTTCACCCATACATGTTTACAAGTAAGAGATGTCATTGTTCTATATTTAGCTGTGACAATTGATCGGGCCACAACATTCTGTTTCTTACTTTTCCAAGAAATAATATTTCCTCAAAGGAAAACACAATATCTTGTAGTAGAACTCCTGTCATAAGGGGAACCAGCCCAATCAACATCACAATACCTAGATATTTGAGTGTTGTCCCTATTTTCATATAATAAACCTTGTCCTGAAGCCTATTTTAGATACCTCAAGATATGGATGATGACATTCAAATGGCCAATGAAAAGAGTCTGTATGAACTGACTAACAACTCGAACTACAAAAGATAAATCAGGTCTAGAAATGGTAAGATAGATAAGTTTTCCAATCAATCTTCTATGTCTTTCTGGATCATAGAACGGTTGACCTTGTTTGATCATTAGTTTTTTATTTGGATCCATAGGACTCTCAACTGGTCTACAGTCATTCATACTTGTCTCTCTTAGAATATCTAGTGTATATTTCCTTTAAGATTTTACAACACCTTCTCTTGACCGAGCTACTTCAATACCCAAGAAGTATTTGAGACTCCCAAGATCTTTGGTTTGAAAATGCTTGCATAAGTGTTCCTTTAATTGAGATATTCTAACAATATCACTCTCTGTAATGACTATATCATCAACATATACTATTAAATAATCACATTTATCAAGAGAAGTATGAGTGAAAGATAAAATGATCTACTTCTCTTTATTTCAACCCAAAAGTTTGCATAATGTGGCTAAATTTTTCAAACAAAGCTTGTGGAGATTGTTTAAGATCATAGAGAAAGCGACGTAACTTACAAACCAAGTCTGATTCCCCCTGAACAACAAATCTAGGAGTTCGTTCCATATAGATATCCTCCTCTAGATCGCCATGAAGAAATGCATTTTTGATATCCAATTGATGAAGTGGCCAATGAAGAATAGCTGTCATGGTAAAGAATAAACGAATAATAGTCATTTTGGCCACTAGGGAAAAAGTATTGCTATAATCAAAGCCATAAATTTGAGTGTATCCTTTAGCAACTAAACGTATCTTGAGACAATCGATTTCACCATTTGATCCAACTTTAATAGCATAAACCCAATGACATCCCACGGTTTTCTTTCCAGATGAAAGGGGTACCAAGTCCCATGTGTGATTCTGATCAAGAGTTTGCATTTCAACAATCATGACTTGGCGCCATCTAGGGTGATCAAGTGCTTCATTTACATTTTTTGGAATAGTAGTGGAAGACACCAATGATATAAAAGAACATTACGAAGGAGACAACCTATGATAGCTACGAAAATTATAAAATGGATGAGGATTCTGAGTAGAACGAGTGCCTTTTCTGATGATTTTCTGATGACAATAGGTAGGGAATCATCAGGTTGAGAAACTGCGATATGAGAAGATGAGGGAGAAGGACTGGAAGAAGAGGTCTCACCTTGGAGTGTCACATGAGTCGTTTGGTTCTAACGGTGGTAAGTAAGGAGCGGAGGTGGTGCCACTTAAGGGGAATGGATGACAGGACTAGGAACATTGGAGGCACAAGGAACAATTGATTCAACTAATGGAATAGGTAGAATCTCCTGGATGGAAGTAATAATATCTTGAACAAATGAAGGGAAGAAAGGAGTCTCTTCAAAGATGTTGACACTGGCAGACATGTAGTATTTCTTTGTTTTAGGAGAGTAATACTAATATCCTTTTTGAAGGCGAGAGTAGCCTACGAAGACACATTTGATAGTCCAAGTAAAAAGTTTATCTATTCTTGAGGATAAATTATGAACAAAACATACACAACTAAACAAACTAGGAGAGATATGAAAGAGAGGTTCTCTTGGAAAGAAGAGGATGACATTCTATTAATAAGAAAATAAGCCATTAGAACATCATCACTCTAATGATGGGGCGGTAGATTGGCATCAAGTAATAGGGTACGGGCAATCTCAATCAAGTGTCTATTTTTCCTTTCAACAATACCATTTTGTTGAGTAGTGTGAGGACATGTGGACTGGTGAGGCAGACCAAGATAGATAATTTTTTCCATTGAACTTTTCAGCGGTAATTGAAGGAGTTCATATGGATAAAACATGTACAGAGGACATTTTAAGTAATATCAACATGCAACTTTAGCTTTAACTTAGGAAACCTAGAAACAAATCTTCAAGTAAGCTGGAAAGAGGAACCCAGTGATCGGAACATGGCTAGGGAGGTCCCGTGAGAGTGACGAAGACGTGTTGATCGGATTCGATGAGCACGTGATGGCGCGCCATCGGGAATCACCTCCTGGGACTGGCAATGTTGACTATCACTCGAAGAGGCGGACCAGATCCGGTGGTTACTGTAGACAATTGGGTGGTGGTCGGCAGTGGAGTATAGACTAACAAAACAGGGTTGACCCACTTTGATACCAACTTAAGATAAAATAAAGGAGAGAAAATAAATTTTAGAGGGCTTAATCACACCTCTCACATAATATCTTATTTATAATGATAAGAACATATATACAGAGTGGATGGAAGGTCAAGGGGTAGAAGTCTGAGATAGAAAACATAGGTACAACTAATTAATAATTCCAACAGTTGGAATCTAAACATTAAGAATTGTTATATTTGGTTCATGCATCCTTCGAGCAATAGTGTCATAGCAAATCCTTCATGCATCCTTCTAATCTAACTCAGAACCTTTCCTCTAAATTTGAGTCGTTCTACATTCAAGTTTTATTAATTTTTGTAATCTTTTTGGTTAGTTTTCTGCAAGTGTTGTAAAATTTCACCTTTTTTGGGATTTTCACTTTTTGCTTAGGTTGGTGTTGATAACATGTGTATAATCGTGGATGCTGTGAAGCGACAACCCTCAAGTTTACCAGTTGAAGAACAAATAAGCAATGCAATGGGTGAAGTTGGACCTTCAATAACACTAGCAAGCTTATCCGAGATTGTGGCATTTGCTGTAGGATCATTCGTTTCTATGCCAGCATGCCGTGTTTTCTCCATGATTGCAGGTTAATGAATTTTCTATTCTCACCTTGTATTTTGGACAAAAAGAAAACTGTACTGAATTTCATCAATACATAAATAAAGAAGGGTAAAAAATGCAACACCTTTACATAGAGATTTTATGATTTCTTAATGTTAAAGATTATTGCTGAATTTTCTTTTCTATAGCTTTGGCGGTTCTACTGGACTTCCTTCTACAGATTACTGCTTTTGTAGCTTTGGTTACATTAGACTTTGTGAGAGCCAGGGATAACAGAATTGACTGCTTTCCATGCATAAAGTTGAATCCGTCCTCTGTGGAGGAGAATGAAGGTACATGCATAAAGTTATAGCACAGATACTTTGGTTTTCTGCTAAGCTTGCATCTTACAATTTATGCTTTTAGGTATAGTTGGTTTTCGAAATGGAATAGCCTTTATGATCTTCTTGCAATATTTTGGTTATTTATGCTGCGATTCTTTTTATGCATCCATGATGGGGCCTTTTGCTTTCTCCATTCTTCAAGCCCAAAGCTCTTTTTGAATGAGGGTTTTATTTGGAGCTATTAATCATTCTTGTTACTTGTAACAACCATAAGGCTAAGAGGGGAACCATCCCTCAAAAGCTAGCTCAAGAGGTTGGAGAACCTCCTACCTTATAAGGCCTCCCTGGTAAGGAGACCTCCCCAATGTGGGACTTGTTACAATACCACCCCGTTCGAAAGCCAGCGTCCTCGATGGCTGCACTCCACGACACTTCACTCACTGACACTTCACTCATTGTCACTTTACTCGGCCTTCTTACCGGTCAGAACCCTCCAGTGGTCAGAACCCTCCGGCGGTAGCCCTTCTCGAGTTGGCTGGCTCTCAATGAAAGCACCAATGTAACAACCATAAGGCTAAGAGGGGAACCATCCCTCAAAAGCTAGCTCAAGAGGTTGGAGAACCTCCTACCTTATAAGGCCTACATGGTAAGGAGACCTCCCCAATGTGGGACTTGTTACATTACTCTATCTAATACTAATAAGTTAAGCTTCAAACTTAAAGGATCTAGCGGTCTTTGATATGATACTGAAGGCTTACTGTAGTGATTACAAATTTGATCCTTTTGTTGCCCTTTCTGTCTTGGTGAGGTTTAATTTCAGAACAAGATATGATTGTTATGTGCTTTGTCAATGCTTCAACTTGAAAGGGACCCTCACGTAATGAAACATCAAACATGTTAAGGATATAAAACACTCTCAAGTAATGCACCTTGTAGATTAAACTATCACTTTTTAAATTGATCTCAATTATTGTTCATACATCTTACGGTTCCATTCAAGAATAATCAAGAACTATTTTCAGTTTCTGTTACTATTTTATATATTACACTTTTTTCTCTCCTTATATATGGTTCTAATCATATATAATCATACTGTAGACATCAGGCAGGAAAGAGATGGATTACTGACACGGTATATGAAGGTAAAGTTATATCTTGTTCATAGGCTAATGATGTGTAAACTAAGAAATAAATTTTATTTTATTACCAATGTTTTATGAATTCAATTTTGTTCCATGTTTTATTTGCCTTGAGTTCAGAGATAAAAAAAATTATTCTATTTGGTTATAAAAGGTAGAACTTTCTCAAGATACAATAGATCTTGTACTTGTGCTATATGGGTTGGCTAGATAAGTAGGGGAGAATGAGGATGGAATGGGTAACGGGAAAGTTGAGTGAAGTGTCATCAAGTGAAAGCCACCGAGACATTGGTCCTTAGGGGCAGCACTATAATAGAAACTCGGGTATTATGGGGTGTCTAAGTCCAACACTGACTAGTATGGATGCTTAGTGAAGTATTTAAGATTTTGATTCTCCCCGATAGCAAGCTTTTGAGAGTGGCTTCTCCAAGAATTTTATTACTAATCACCTACTTATCACTTTCTGATTAACTTTACTATCATTTGAATGTAGGACGTTCATGCACCATTTCTTGGACTATGGGGAGTTAAAATATTGGTCATCGCTGTCTTTGTTGCATTTACCTTAGCAAGCATTGTAAGTTTCTTGGGAATGAAAAAAATTTTAACTTTCAGTGAGACCCTTTGGAGAAATGTCATTCTATTTGTGTATCTTTTTTTTATTTCATTTTCTTTTGACAGGCATTATGCACAAGGATTGAACCTGGTCTTCAGCAACAGATTGCGCTTCCACGAGATTCCTACCTTCAGGTTTAATTTTCAATTTGTTTTCCATGTTCCATTTGTACTATCCCGTCTCCAACAATCATTTTTTTTTTTTTTGTCTTTTCAGGGTTATTTCAGTAACATATCTGAGTACCTTAGAGTTGGACCACCAGTATATTTTGTTGTAAAGGATTACAACTACAGGTTGATTAATTTTACTGTTGTAAGAGTACTTGCTTGTTTATTAATTGTCTGGCTTTTAATAAGACAACTAAATTTGTATTATTTACAAACTGAAATAATGCATTAAGCATGCAAGTTGCAGTTGAATAAATAGGAAATAGAATTTGTGGGAAGAAAATTATGTATATCATTATTTTCATCCACTGTGTAGGCACCTGAAAAATATCATATAGATATATGCTTAAGTGTAGTATTTGAACTGATTTCCTGTGAGTCTCGTGCAGTTTGGAATCCAATCACACAAACCAGCTATGCTCCATTAGCCACTGTGATTCAAATTCTCTTTTAAATGAGGTAATTCAATGGTCAAGTTCATTAATATTGCATCATAGTTTTACACTTTGTTATTGTACCTTCTTGTATAGGAGCTTATTAGCTTATTCATATTTAACCAACTGACAGTTACTCAGCTATTAAGATCTAAATAATTGAGAGTTTCTCGGTTACTCAGATCTGGAGATATAAGAATGTGATGTAATTCAGTTTTAGTTGGGTTGAATTCATTTACACTATAAAAAATTCCATTCTCCCTATAAATATGGTCTCACAGAGCTAGTTCTATCCTATCCTCTTTTCTTCCCCAATCCCTCACCCTAAACATCACTCTGACTTTGTCAGTTCCTTCTCTCAACTTCTCGCATTCCATTTTTTATTAACTTGACACCAAAATGTATCTCCTCTGGTGTGAACAGGTTGAACATGTAATAAAAGGATATAGACTCCATTACTACATGCTTAATCCTCAAATTCTACCAAAGTATCTATTAGGAACCAAGAATTAGTTAGAAAAAGAAAAGAAAGTTTCTTTATTGAATAGAATGAAAAGATCAAGAAATAGGAATGCACTCTCCTCCAAGGGTTTCCCCTACACAAAGGATTTCTCCTTTTATAAAGAGTTAATGCTCAATTTACAAAAATTATAAGACCCCCCCTTCACCTATCCTTCTTACCTATTTATATCTAAATAAAACCTCAAGCAACTAACTAACTCATTAATATGCTAACTATCTTCTTAACTTCTCCTTCCTCTTATACCCTAACGGTATCTCTCTATTGGAGATCGTGATTTGAATAGTGTCTCTAAAATGCTTTCCTTGCTTGGGAGAGTAAGATCAGCTACTCCTATCTTGGCTTCAATCTTCAATGTCATGTTCAATGCTCTCTCATGTAATTTAATGCAAATCATCCTAACAACTTTGGGATAAAATTCACACATATTTTCATGCACATACAATTGTGAAAGCAAGACAGCTTTGAACTGAACTTCAAAGCACAATGGGCAAAAATCTTTCTATCTCAAAGTTTCTTCTTCACATCCAAAATCTAGTTGGTGCATTTTTGCTATTGGAGACTCCATTTCTTCATAAGAGCATCTTGATATCATCAACGAAAGTGTACACACACTTGAAATGCGTGGCTCCTCGTCGCACATGTGAGGAAGCATGGCAGATTTGATGGAGCCGAAACTTTGGGTATAGGTGCATCAGTGACTTCTGGTATGCTGAGGGGACCCTTTGCTGGAGAAACTCGCAGGAAAAAAAAATTCAGATGGCAGTAGTTTCTGGGCACAATGAAAAAGGTGACAATGAAGGCAGATTGAAGGCCCGTTTGGATCAAGAGTCTGATTCCTACTTGATAAACGTACATGATTTCAAAGGAAGTGGTTACAGTATATTTGTTATTTAGCTTATTACAAAGGAGCTTTACTACTCCTTTATACCGACTATGTTACTTTTAATTCAAGAATTTCAAGGTACTAAATAAATGTTCAGCCCTCAGTCTAAGATTCTGTACAGGCTAATTAATGAAAGAATTAAACCTTATTAATTACTGTCATTGTACTCTTCATCGATATTGTTGAATGGTTGATGTGTGCATAACCACCCTTGAAATGTATTCTTCCTTTATATGTTCACATATATGAATTGATTCTGTATATTTTGTTCTATAAAAATTGCAGATATCTAGAGCATCATTAGAGCCAAAATCAAGCTACATAGCCAAACCAGCTGCTTCATGGCTTGATGATTTCCTCGTATGGATTTCACCTGAAGCTTTTAGTTGCTGTCGAAAATTCACAAATGGTTCGTATTGTCCACCCGATGATCAGGTATGTGCTTCTTTGTCTGTCCTTGAATAAAATCTGCATGCAGCGTGTTAAACTTTTCTTCTCTCCTACATGTTTTGAATATTCATGCACAATGCATATGCATATATACTTTGTGCTATTCTGGTTTTATTTTTTCTTTTGCCTTGCTTTTGTGTCTACAATAATTATTTAAATGGTAATCTAATTAAATATTGCTCAATGTATCTTTGTGTATCTTTCCATTTATAATAGTAAGTATCTGCATTTGTTCAGCCACCTTGCTGTTTACCAGATGAAGGACCATGTGGGTTGGGTGGAGTGTGCAAAGACTGTACAACAGTAATATACTTTTCCCACTAAGATTTTTGTTTATTACATACAACACTACTTGCCCAAAAGATTTAAATGTAAATCAAAAGGGTGAATTGGTAAAACAACTGACATTTTTGGTTGATTCCTAGTGTTTCCGCCACTTGGATTTGGTTAATGATCGTCCATCTACAGCACAGTTCAGAGAGAAGCTACCCTGGTTTCTTGATGCACTTCCATCAGCTGATTGTGCAAAGGGTGGTCATGGAGCTTACACCAACAGTGTAGATCTGAATGGTTTTAAAAAATACTCACTCCCCTTTTTTACCGTGTATTCTGTTCCCTTTGTATTTGCTATGACATTCTTAAATATGAAAATCTGATATACAGATTTTGCTTATAACTGAGCTTTCAGGTTATGAGAGAGGTGTCATCCAAGCTTCTGAGTTTCGTACTTATCACACACCACTTAATAGACAAGTAAGCAGTGTGATAATTGATGGTCTTATTTCCCTTGCTTTGGCATATTTTTTCACACATTTCTCTATTTGATATAATGAAAATCTTGTTAGAGTGACTACGTTAATGCAATACAAGCTGCAAGGGATTTTTCGGCAAGAATTTCTACTTCTTTAAAGGTTTGAGCATCGATGGCATTATGCATTTTTACCTGAGCTGTTATTGCGTTCAGGATCTAAGAATTGTTTGGAATATGGTCTTTCATATATTTTATTCTGGTTGTAATTTTTATTTTTTATTAGAACTGCATTTATGAGCCTTTTTCTAGGATTCACTCTATAATTATTATTACTTAATTAACTTTTTTGTCCATGTAAAATTAGGGTATTTTGGGTTTGGTCCTTATTCAGTTATTTGTTTGATTTTCTTCCCTCTTAAATTTTTTGTTTTTGCTTTTGGTCCCTACAGTTAACTTCCTCTATTAAACCTAACGGTAACGACATCAAGATGATATTTTCACCTGTCATGTCGACAAAATTACCAAATCAGCGATTCTAACACTGAGACATGTGACTACAGCATATGACACCAAAATCTAAAAGTAATATATTTATAGAGACTAAAACACAATTTAACATATTTGCAGTGACTAAAAACAAAAAATAACATTTGCAAGGACTAAACAAAGAATAATATAAGACTGAGGTAAAGAGAATCATATCCAAAAAATATTTAATCATATTCTTATAATGAATATTCAACAACTAACAATTGATAGTAATGACCATTAATTTAAGGATATAAAAGACTAAGAATCATAAATGATTTTTTATTTGAAGAAAAGCTAGATTCAATTGACTATTGCGAATTTCAATAATAATAAACATTAATATAGTTGAATGAGATGAAAAAAAAAGTAAATTATATTAGTGCTAAAAATGACTGATCTAACGTTGTTGCTATTTATTATTATTATTATTATTATTATTATTATTATTATTATTATTATTATTTCTGTTGTTTACCTATCTAATATTTTACTAGGAAATGTTGTCCTTTTTTCTGTTGACCTTTGAGTCTACGTATTGTTATTAACATATCACTTTTTATCAGAATGCCTTGTTGATATTAAGTTTATAACAAAATAATAGTTCAGTGTGGATTTAGTTTCCTTTTGCTCATCCTTATGAAGCATTTTATAATGGCTAAAACTATACAGTGTCCCACATTGTTGACTCTTTTGTGGATCTCCACTTCTTGTTGACCAACTTTTTCTCATGCAGATGGATATTTTTCCGTACTCAGTGTTTTATATCTTCTTTGAACAATACCTGGATATATGGAAGTTAGCCCTGATCAACATTGCCATAGCATTAGGTTGGTATTCCAAAACAGTTTAAATAACGCATATATACAAAGAATGGCATACTCATGCGTCAACCTTGTGTAAGCTGGACGTTCTGTTTTGATCTTTCAGTTTCTCATCATGTTTGCACTTTGCAGTTTATATGTTGAATTTGAGCCTTTACTGAGAAGGTTTATACTCATGGGCTTGGCTCAAACTTCTAATTCAATCTATATGGTCTTTGATGAAGCACTTGGTTATCTTAATGCCAAACTTCTTGATTTCTGCCTCTTGAAAGGATATATAGCATCTTCTGTTTCTTTTTATGCATGAAAGATTTCATTATTGGTATTTAAACTACATACCATGGGTAATAATTATTTGCCGTCCTCTTAACATTTCTGATTGGACCAAAATTGGAATGTGAAAATCTAATTCATGTCTACCTACTTTTATCCATGTTTTGTTTCCCCTTTTCCCTTGACATAGATTCTTCAATTATTACTTGTATCATATGAAGTGTGACTTTCCTGAATCAAATTCATTTATCATAAATGACTTATGGTGATATAACAGGTGCTATTTTTGTTGTTTGTCTGGTCATCACGTCCAGGTATACTTAAGTCTTACATATTTACAGTTAAAACTTCTCTCCATTACAGGTTTAAGTGTCTTTTTTTTTCTGTTTTCTTTCAATGCAGCTTGTGGAGTTCAGCAATCATATTACTTGTTCTGGTCATGATAATTTTGGACCTCATGGTATCATTTATCTTAAAGTTGCAAATTTTGTTTCATCTTTCTATTGATTTTCTTTTTAATTCCTTAGTTAAAGAGTGAAACAAATGACCTTTGTGACTCCTGCAGGGTGTAATGGCAATCTTGGGTATCCAACTCAATGCAGTGTCTGTTGTAAACCTTATTATGTCGATAGGGATTGCTGTGGAGTTTTGTGTGCATATAGTACATGCATTCACGGTCAGTCTGATCTTCTGTTCTATAAATTGACAGGTCTTTCCTATATGGTATTATTGTCTTTTCAAGGGAACAGTGATACCTGCCAATGGGGCCCATTATGATTTCCTTCTTGATTGTTAAGAAAATGGGGTTATGGGGGGGATTATTAAAGCATGTGAAATTAAACCTGCTTTGTCACTAGATATTGGCACTTTGATTAATTCAGGGAGTCTTTATGCAATTGAACCACATGCCTGTTGGTGATTATGCACATTTTCTGATGATCTTGTATACATGATTTCACAGGTAAGCTTGGGGGATAGGAACCAACGAGCAAAGACAGCATTGTGTACCATGGGGGCTTCTGTATTCAGGTTGATTATATGTTTTGTTTCATTTGGAAATATCATTGATTGTAGTATTTGTAGTCTAGGACCGAGTGTAGCCCACTAGGCACATAGCAAAAATAGCAAGCGAGAACTGCTCTTTTTGTTATTGTAGGAGATATGTTCAAATTATAAGTGAGGGAAAATCTCACTTTACAAATCGGTTTTTTAAGGATAAGCTAGACTTAATGTCCACTTTCTAAGATAGTATCAGAGTCTATCTTAAATATGTTTGTTGGGCCTATTGTGTCACCCATTATCGGACTCCTAACAAATCATCAACAAATATTTAGTCTCACATTCGAAATGTTCTGTCTTGGGCTTGCGGAGGTTAGAGATCTTATATTGACTAGATATATCTCAAAATTATAGTATATAAGTTGTACAAACCTCACCTTACAAGCCATTTTTGTAAGATCGAGTTGGTTTAAAGTCCACTATCTGCAAAGCACGTTGAGAGTGTTTTGTTAGTAAGGGAGGCACTAGTTTCCTAAGCTCTTCTATGAGATCAGTTAGGTTAGTCTATAATTATCGTTGTACCAGCGATGAGAAGTGATGTGTCAGATGCTCACTCTCAACTACTATTTATTTAATGACACTTCACTCAATATTTAGTCATGCATTATAGAGAAACATAGAAGCATCCATAATATAGAAAAATTAGACTATTTGTGATGAGAATGATTTATATTTGATTTTGTTTTTAACAATGTCCAATAAAATGCTCTTAGTTTGAATTTGAAGAACTGCAACTAAGAATTATATATTTATTATGTTTTAGTAATTACATATATATATATATATGTGTGTGTGTGTGTGTGTGTGTTTTAGACGTATTACACTGTATATATTTTAACGTAACTGTATCACTTATTGGATACGCATCGGATATACGTATCGTATGTGCATTAACTTGTAAAATAAGCTTCAGCTTTGTGGGGGAGAATTAGAATATATTAAGTCTATTACTGGTGGACCTAGTCTAGGACGTTAGAAGTTGGGGTTGTACTGGAAGTACTAATGCTTGGGCCTTTTAATGGTAAAAATAGGTGCACTTAGTTTTACTTGTTGTACTTCTGTGTGATATCATTATTCGTTCTTTTGTTCTTCTGTGAAAGAACTTCTTATCCATTGGACTTTGTGAAAAGTTTATCTTATAAAAGTTAGTATTTAGTTCTTTAACTTTGATATATAACTCTTGCTCTGGTGTCAGAATTGATACAGGCATATCATTTATGAGTAATTACAAAAGTTATTTGAATGATGATTGAATTATTAGTGTCTCTGCACTATTATATTGTTTGACACTTTTCTTTCTGTATTATTTATCTTTGTTTGACAGTGGAATCACTCTAACAAAATTAGTCGGAGTTCTCGTCCTTTGCTTCTCCACATCTGAAATTTTTGTGGTATGTGTGCATGTCACCTTTGGCTCCAGTACTTGATTGTCTGATCAATAAATGTTAAAAGTAGCTTTTCGGTCTTTTCAGGTGTATTACTTCCAGATGTATCTGGCCTTGGTTATCATTGGCTTCTTGCACGGTCTTGTGTTTCTACCGGTAAGTTTGGGGTGTTTGGTGTTACTTTACAAATGACTGTAGTTTTTCAATAACATCATGAAATAGCTTTTACTCCGTTTCCATTTTGAATTTTATTCGTCACACTTGGCGTTCAATTTCACAATGTGTTTAATATGCCTTACAAGTGGCATAGTCATTAATCCATACAATCGCCACCAGGATTAGTTTTGCCTGTAGGAATCAGAGCACCTTACCTGTACGGGTTTGATTCACTTCCTAATTGCTAGCAATCCTCATTGCTGGGCAATCTGCTAGTACCAAGCAACACTGCAAGCCCTTGCTGAGGCTTGTGGAATGTTTTGACCTTGAGATGGCCTACTTTCCACCTAAACCTCTTTTTACCCAAGAAATATATACGCACAAAGTTTAACTACTCCTTTAGTTCTTATAATTATATAAATTCTTCTTTTAGATCTTTATACTTTAAAATCATCTGCTTTTATACTTACATGTAAATTTTAATCCTTTTTAGTCTTCTATACATGCTTTTTAATATTTTTAGCTCTTAGTGTCTAAATTTATAAAGATTAAAAGAGATTAAAAATAGAATATATATATATATATATATATATATATATATATATATATATATAAAGAAACAGATATAATTTTTAAGTATAAGGATTAAAAGGTAAAATGTGTTCAACTATAAGATTAAATAAGTAATTTAACTTATGAACAGTTACTATTCGGAAACATCTCACGTTTCCTGCCCTTTCTTTTCAGGTGGTATTGAGCTTGTTTGGTCCTCCGTTAAGATATACAGTCATTAAGGAGCAGCTAGAAGAAGACGTGCCTTCTGCTTCATCAGAATAGACTCTAATTTGATGAACGTTAGATTTTAACTACGCTAGTCACATGTTTAATGAACAGAAAAATTGTTCTGATTTAGAGGATTAATAGTATTTTTTTCTTTTGTCTTTTAGATGGAAAGTGCTCATTGCTTATATATGTGAATGTGAACATGGTCACGGAGAAACTTTATGCCGATGTTACTAATTTCTGATGTTTGTTAGGTTTGATCATCACAGTAACAGTAGTGTATGTATATAATTCCGAGAACATTTGAAGGGAAAGCTTGATTGCTTATAGTGTTTTCATCCAGTCAAGACGATATTGTTTTCCACGAAAAACCTGTAGCCTTGTAGAAAAACAATGTGATGTTAAGAGTAGGCAGGAAATAAAATTGCACAAATTACATGGAAAATAGAATGAAAAAACATGCAAACAATGAAGTTAATAGAAGACGTTGAACAGGAATCTGGAACTTCACCGGAAACAATAATGAAAAATTCAAAAGACTTATTGTTTGCAATTTAATTTTAGTCAGAAAAACGAAGGTAACGGGAAAGGAATTTCTTCCATCTGACTTTATATGAAAAATGAAGGCTATTTACCAATATCGTACCATGCTACCTCAAATTTATTTATCCGAATTATATAATTAAAAGGGTAAAATATAAACAATATAGAGCAAACTCTCTCAATTCGTCTTGAAAGTACAAGGCATTGAAAAATTGGCAGTGACAAGTTGATACTAGAAAAAATAAAATTGAAAAAGGTTCCAAAAATTATGTTAGACAAATTAGGCGTTTTTTTTTTGTTTTTTTAATGTATACTAATTAGTCGTTTTGACGGTAACTCAGGATAAACAATACTAACGTGAGGTGTTATATTTGACATTTTTCTCTTGGTTACTTTGTACTGTTGTTAAATTAATCAAATTGACACTTTTAGGAACTAACATGACGAAAATAAAAAGTTCTTTTTTTTTCTTCTCATCTAAATGATCAAAAGAAAATTGAAATATTTTTTTAATGTTTCAATAAGGCATTTTAGAAAAAAATAAAAAAATAAAAAACGAAACGATATTTTACTATTCTAAATATGTTTAAAAAGAACAAAATCCTAATAATAAATAAAGGCATAAAGGGGGTTCAATAATGCATAATCTAAAATTAGTAGTACACACTTAGTACATTTAAAAATAGAATCAATTGTCTTTAGAAATGACCATTTCGAAACAATAATGGCAATAAACATTCCATAAGAATACAGGACATCGACTTTTTATTATTGTTATTAAATTTTTTTATTAAAAAACCTATTTGAAGTTACAAACGTTTTATTATTGGTGTTAAAATATACTCTGTAACATTTTTTTATTTAGTAATCTTGCAAACCTACACGTTTAACTATTAATTGTAATTTTTTAATTAACTTTTAACTACCTTATTAATTCTCACTTGGAAAAAAATTATTTCTTATTGAATGTTATTCTCTTTTTTACTAATTACAGAAAGTGAGCTCATCAATTAAATAGGAAAAAGATATGTTATTTTTTCTAACTTTCCAGTCCATATATTTTTCTTCCATGAATTACTTTGTGCTACTCTTCACTTTTATAAAAAACAATTTTAATCAATTAAATAGTCTCCGGTGGTAAAAATTATTTAGTGACAAAGGATGATACAATGCCTTTAAAAGATATGTATTATACTTCAAATGAATTTTGACATTTAACGATCATAAGTTTGTTTTTCTTTCAATTCATTCATTTTTAATAACATTTTCTGTATATTTTACAAAAGTAATACAAACTTTTTTGCAATGTTGCATTCGGACAAGATGATCCGTCAAGGGAATCTAAATTCTTGACATGGGTTTAATTTTTAGGGATAAAAATATTGAATTTTTATCATTAGTTGAAATTTATGGAAAACTACAAAATCATGTTTGAGACTCACAAAATTTTATAATTTTCAATAATAAATAATACTAAATAGAAGAGAGTATATTGAATAGAGTGTGATAAAGGATGTATTGCAGGCATTTCTGAGATAGAAATGTGATAACTAGATGTGTGTTAAGCCATGGCATTAAAATTTACAAATGTATAACGTGGGCATAGAATTTGATTAGTTATGTTAGCAGTAATGAAGTTGAGAAAATGAAACGATTGGGAACGTGTATTGTGAGAAAACAAAACAAAGCAGAATGAGATCCAAATGTTGGTAAATAGATTGAAGGTTAAGGAGAAGGGGAAGGGGAGAGTTGAAATAGGGCGAGTCTAATAGTGTGGCTCTCATAGGTTGTGTGCAAGTCTTTACACTCCTCAAGATCACCATCGCACGCTAAAACAACCCACTCTCCTTCGTCATCCAAATACTTCACAACCACCTTCCCCACATCCTTTACGTTGAAACGCCTTCCAATCTCAACCTTCAAATCTCTGAACCCCCACTTTTCTTGCAGGCTGAAACGGATCTTTTCATCCCCAAAAGTAGCCTTCACCCTCAGAGGTGCACTGTTACAACATAAATACTGCTGCTGTAGAGGAACCACGGTGGAAGGAGAGGAGGATGCATCCAAGGAGTTGATGGTGGTGGTGGTGTTGTTGTTGCTGCTGCTAATGTTCTTGCTCTTGGAAGACTGAGAAGTGGCGGAGCTCAACTCCGGAAAACTGTTGTAGAAGGAACCGATCTGGATGGCACCCTCGGCACCCTGGACCGAATCGATGACAAGCTGAAGCTTCTTCAAAGAGTGCCCCACCTTCTTTATTTTCCTCGAAGGCCACCTCGTGATGCCGTGCTGTCTGCATATCCTTTTCAGAGTTGTCGGACACACTGCATGGTAGGAGAGAGTGCGTGCATGCATCCATGCATGCATGCATTCATTCATTAGTTTATTAAAGAAGAGGAAATAATTGAGTTGGATAGAGAGAGAGGAATGGATATCTGACCTCCGATGCTCTTTGCGGCATCCTTAAGGCTTCCGGCAAAGTACTGTCTGAGAACAGGCAAGCTGATACTCTTCTCCGCCTTCGTCCGTCTCTTCTCCCCTGACCTTCTCCCGCGTCGACCACCAAACGTCTGAGTTTCAGATTCATCCCCTCCCACATCTACTGCCTCGTAATTACTGCAACTCCCATTCTCCCACTTCAACTTCCTTGTCACTTTGAACTCCTCTTTCGCCTCTTCCAGGTATTCCAACGTCACGCACACTCCTTTCCCCTTTTCTTCCTGGGCCTGCGCCTGCGCCTCCATCATATGTGCAATCCACGACCCACACGCTTCTACCTGCGACTGGGATTCTGATTTCTGACTCATAACTATTTCCTCTTTGTTACTCATGAAAGGCTGCGGTGGTGGTGGTGGTGGTGGAGGCAACGTGAACTCATCCTCCGTCACGACGTGCAAGGTCCGGCAAGCTTGCTGAAGGAGCAGGGATATGGAGTTGAGGAAGTGGTTTTGGTGTTCCCTGTCACGGCAGTCCTTAGGAAGGAAGAACTCGAGGACAAAATCGGTGTAGAGGGTCCTTAGAGGAATGGCGACGGCAGCATGCAAGCCGAAGATGTTGGCGTGTTGGGCGAGGGGATATTGGGTTTTGGTGAAGGCGGTTATGTCGATCGCAAAACAGGGCTTGGATGTTGTGAAGGCTGTGCCAACGATTCCCTGCCCCCGCAAAAGGTGATGCTGAGAGCAGGCCTCCTTGAACGGCAGCATTTGGGCGTCCCCCACAAAACACGCTCTGTCCACTGTCGACAAGTAATTCTCCGTCGAATGGCCGTACCCACACTTTCCTGCTTCTTGGATGCAACACGGAGCCCATGTGAGAGCCAATGCCACCTTCTGCGCCCTGCACACGCACCTCAACACCTCCACCATCTCATTCACTGCTGCTTCGTACACCTCCTCAAATACCTGTTCATCACTCATCCATTAACATCACTAACACTAATTCTCTCTGCTGCTTCCACATCCATCCTATCTATCACTACAAATTTAGAATATACTACTACGTACCTTTACACTCGGTTGAACCAGCTCGTTCTCACAACTTCTAAAATCATCTGCCTGCAAATCCTACAATACGCTTTCTGAGTTATAATAATAAATAACAAATCCCTTTATCATTAAGATCTGATCAATATGCTATTATGTACAGAAAGCAAGGGTCAAAGGGCAGTGTAGATAGATAGGATAGGAATGGCTAGATAAGTATTTCTTGTTAAAGAAGAACAAGTACCTGGAAAGAATTGCAGAGAATATTATTGGTAACAAGTTGTGGGGAATGGTTGATGGTGTCGCAGGGAGGCATCACAATCTGGATTACACCGAGGCATGTGGCAGTGCCTCTTTCCAAGACAGGAAGGGCTAAAGAACCAGGGACGTCCACATAATAAGGAAGCCGCGGGTACTCATGGCTTCTAAAGAACCGAAGGTTTACGTCCCTTGTCTTGTTCTCGTTCATGTTCACGTTCACGTTCGTGTTCATGTTCATGTTCATGTTCGTGTTCGTGTTCATGCTCATGCTCGTGTTCATCTCTACTGAAACCCACTCGTCTGGATTTCTGTTAAGGTACTCCGGCCCAAGGCCTCTCCGCAAGGGAACCCATATCTGAATCAGCGCATTCGTGTTCTTTGTGTATTCTCTTAGATACTCCACTGCAACCACTAATCTCTCTTTGACGGAGGAATTACCCTTGGGTCCAATCCACCATCTCTTCCCCACTTCCACCTCCGCCTCCACTTCTGAACTTCCCATGTACTGACCCTCGCAGCTCCCAACGCCACTCGTTTCCACCCAGCAACCTTCTACCAGCAGCTCCTCGATCAAGTCTTCTTCTGAGACTGAACCACACTCCCACAAGCTCCCAAACCCACCATATTCCATGTTCTTCCTACCTTATTAATTCACTTCAATTTATTTTATTCTTTCCTCTCGCGATCGACGGACGTGATCCTATGATTTTACGTTACACATCAAGCAAGCAATTAAATTTAATCACGGAGAAAATGAGAGAGAGGGGGAAAAAGCGAGAGAGGAGGAGGAGGCATGCATGGGTGTACTCACTCACCTAGCTAGATAAGCTAGCTTTCCCTCTGTGTCGTGGTTGAATGAAGTTGTGCGTTTGAGAGTAAAAGGAAGATGAAGATGATGAAAAGAAAGGAAATTTAATGGATGGATCTGAACTAAAGTTTGTGGGCGTTACAAGATTGCTTCCGAAAAAGGATTACCTGATCGAACTCAATTCAACATGGTACCCATGGAAAGTCTCTTGTTTATATACAAGGTGAGAGAGAGAAAAAAAAAAAAGAAAAAAAAGAATAGAATATAATGAACAGAAAAGGAAAATTTCTCGTATTGGAGTAGGAGCCTGGAGGAGGAGTAAGCAAAAGCAGAGAGTGGCCGGTGTTTATTTATTTATATATATAGATATGTTCCCCTCTTACTCACTCCTGTAAATTAATTATATTCATCTACTATACACTATATAAATACATCTATTTTCTGCTTCCTGTATTACAAACAACATCTTAAAAAATCAACTAGTTTTCACGCTGAAAGCAACCTATATAAAGATCAAATCAAATCAGTGGGGCAATGAAAGAAACACAGAAAGTGACTCCCACGGCCATGTATGCCTTTCATGTTAGTTTTTTTAAGTCAAATTTGTTTTTTAAGTTTAAAATATAATGTAATTTGTTCTTTTAGTCTTTACTTTGGTTTGAGAATTATTACTTGGGGTAATAAATATATAAATGCATGTATGGTACGTAGGTATATATAAATGTATGTATAATATTAATCAAGAATAAAAATATGGAGAAGCAGGTGCATAATAGTGGGAGATCATAACGAATGTGGAGAGTAGAAGGAGAAGGTCCCTCTCCGTGCGCCACATGGCAGTCCTACACCAACCTACCACGTCTTTCTTCTTTACGTTCCCAATAAAAAAAAATATTATAATAATATATTATAACGTCCAAGTTGAGGCCGCGAAAATTGAAAAAGATTCTTCTCTGTTTCATTCCTTATTTAATTGACGCAACGCGATGCGCATCTCCACCAACCTACGTCATACACACTGTACATCCAATTTTTTTATTTCTTTTTCTTTTTTACCTTTTATATTTGAATTAATATTGTTCTTCTAAAATGCTAATCATTTCGATTTTTTACCATGATTTTGAATATTTTAAACTAATTTAATATAATCCAACATCTTTATACTATTATGAACTCTCAATAATTAATTCCACAATTAAACATTTTCATTTTTCTTTCGTCACATGGAATCGTATACTTTATGGTTATCTTTATTCCTTTATCACTTCAACCAGTACTCGTAGCTTCAACGGTTAGACGTTGTAAATAGTATTTAACCAACTAACTTCTAAATTAGTTTAGGCTTCAAATAAAAGAATTAAGTGTATAAATAATAAATTAAAAAAATAAATAAATATGGTAAATGGAGAAGGACTTTTATTCTGACATCTGTCATGAAATGGACGCCGTACGAACAAGACCAGCTGTACGATGTGGTTTAAAATCACTTTTCAACCTCTCAACCCCCACTAATTCTAAATCCCATTCTTTCTTTTTTATTCCGAAAGCTACGTTTCACCGTTAAAATTTAATTACCATATTTTTAATCACCATAGAAAATTAAAATAAATAAAATAGAAGAATGAAAGAACAAATATAGTTTAACATTAATAATGGATATCAATTTTACTTCTTCTAAGACCCTGAGATGCATATGTCAATTATTAAATATAGTATATTTTAGGAGTTTTTTATATTATATAATTATGATCCATGTAATTGTTGAATGGATACTTTTTACAACTCAAACAATAATGTTGTAATATTTTTATTTCCATTTGTCAAAATATATTATTTCAATATTTACATATTTATTAATAGAAAACTATTAATTTCTCCTTACCTCAGTTCCATTCTAATTATTACTTTTTTTATCTCATCTCTTTCTTTTATAACTTAAATACTATAACTTTCATATTTCAATTAAATTTCAATCATTCATTTTTATTTTATCTCGTTTTCGAGTTTTGGTATGTGACGGGTTATTTTTAAAAAAATATTTTAATTAATTGAAGAAAAAAAATATATATATATATATATATATATATATATATAAATTATTATTAATTTTAATTTCTAAATAACGAGTGAGACTTGTACTCTAACAAATTACATATTAAGTTGGTTAAATATATAAATAAATTATTATTTTATCAAATATCCAATAAGCCTAATATTCTAAAAATTATGTTATAAATGATTGTTGTACTCTATAAAATATCATTATATGTAAATATAAGAATTTTAAAATTACCTAATATTATATATATATATATATATATATATATATATATATATATATATTCTAAAATATAATTGGATATAACTTAATTATAAAGAACATTGCTCACACCGTATTAAAATACAACTAAATTATAGACACAGTTTGGATACAGTTTTAGTTTTTTTTTTTAAATTAATAATTTAATATTTAGAATTAAAAAGTTTAAATTCATAAAAAAAATTAGCAAACACGTTACATGTCTATGGTCATAACATATATTTCCTAGAAAAAAAAATACATGCTCCTCTATACCCTATTTTCCCTCTCCTTATTTTAAATGAAAATAAAACTAAAAAATATTATTTATGATGATAAATCTTCTAAATAAAGAGTGATTATTATTTGAAAAATATATAATGATAAATAATTACAAAGTTATTTTAACTATTAAATAAAATAAAAATTCTCTTCTAAAATGTCAATTAAACAAAATTAAAGATGACAATAAACGAGGTGCATATGGTACCTTGTGAGACTTTAATGAGGACAAAAATTAAGGATCCAAGATAGTAAAATGTAACCAAAATCTTTATATACAAAATTAATTAAGGTGATATAATGAGTTATGTTCTGGTTAAGAATTGAGAGTGGTATTTAAATTTTTATAGCATCATATTTTAAATGACATGGAACTTTATATGTGTATCAGAATATAAGTCTTTAGAGGACTAAGAGGGATACATAAGTGGAGCAAAATATTATTTTTGGTCTCACGGTAGATGTTAATGTTTCAATTAAAGAAATAGTATGTATGAGTGAAGCGATACTCTATTATCGACTCTACGGTGTAACCTAATGTTCCCATTTTAAGGATTGAGAGTGTCTCGACGTCACGTTCGTTATGATAATATCGTTAGAGTCAACTCCCACATCCGAGGTATTATTCACTTTAAAACTCTTATCTCGTCATAGTTCCGCCCTTAAATAAACGCATCCGTGTATTAAGAAAAAAGATATATTTAAACTACCATACCTCCAAAAAGATGTAAGACTTCATAAACCTACTGAAATAATTTCTTTAATCAATTTCTAAAAGAAACAAAACTTAAGTTAAAAATCCATAATAAAAAATAATTAAAAATTAAAATATTCCATCAATTATAATAAACTCAGCGCAAAACTTTACTTTTAAACTAATAATAAAATCATTATTTTTTATCCCATAAACTCTGAAACTCGTATAATTTAGGAATTGAGATTAATAATAATTAATATATACTTGTTTTTTTAACCTATTTTAAGAAAAAATTATGAATGAAAAATCATATAATTGTTCTGGGACAGCAGTTGCCCCACTTTAAATTTCACAAATTGAAGATAAACCCAAAGCTTGGTAACGAAATAAAGGTGGTAAGTTGTGTGCGTCGAAGATAGGATTTTATATTGGAATGAACCTCGTAAGAGAAACTCGATTGCGATCTATTCAATGGGCCACATTTCCAAAATAGCAAGATTCATGTGAGCTTTAACTAATAATAAAAGAAAGTGATTTTTTAAAATAATAGTAATGAGTGATTAAAATATATATATTCCAAGAAAGTCTACTTTTTTGTGGAGGTGGATGATTGTTAATGCGCTTACGCACGTACAGTAATTACTAATTAGTGATTGAACCAAACAAATCCCTTTTAACAAATAGGTCGGCGAAGGAATCTTCTTTCAATTTCTCACCAATTAAAAAATAATATAAAAATGCGACATAGATTAAGAGAATAAAAAATATAAAAAAGAAGAAGAAGAATTGAGAAGCAATTAAACAGGAATACAGCATTAACGCATTTAAACGAAAGTAAAATATTGTTAAAAAGGATTAAAATTTAATTATACCCCCTCTTGATTTTGGAGAATAAAATATAGTTTCTCCTAACATTTTATTATTATTATTATTATTATTATTATTATTATTATTGTTTTAGTAAACATATATACGAATACAAATTTTTCCTAACATTTTTATTTTTAATATATTAATTTGTTTAATTATATTAGAAAAAAAAAACATTCGGAGTGTAGTTGACATAATTTATGTTTTCACGCAGGTACAAATAATGGTAAACATAAGTTAGGCGAAAAGTGAGATTGAAGTAATTGTAGTTTTAAAAGTAATAGTATTATATATAGTAAACAGAAAGAAAGCGTAACCTTATATTAGTCGAAGTTGAGAAGAGTAAATAATAATAATCATAATGATTGATGTTTGATATTGATGGAGGAAAAAGTGTGAGGGAGCATTAAGAGCATCATAATGGAGGATTATTATGAATATGCAGTGAAGTGGTTATATCTTCGTGAGAGTGACCCTTCCACTTGCATCCATCACCTATATTTTATCTTCTCCCAGTTTCTACTTTCTTTATTTCTCCTTTGCTTTTTCTTTTCAAATCTTTATATATATACATATATAATTAATTAATTATACATTCTTAATATATATAAATTATAGTTACCCACTTTTTCATTTTTTTATATTATTTTATAGCATAACAATCGAGTCAATATG